TTAGATAGCTGCTTTACAAATAGAGGATTATTATTCAGAGACGGCTGGATTTTATTGTATATATTTTTGTGAATTCTTATTGAAGAAGCAAAAATGATTTGCGTTGACTATTTGTCATCTCCATTGGCATTGCAAGAAAGGAATACAATTGTACTCAGAACTCATTCATTAACAGACCCTAATTTTTCTTCAGAGTTGTACAGTGTAGTGTAGAGTAGAGTACCCGCAGCAGATATCAATTATGTTCAGCAATTGTCTGACCCTGAGACAATATTTTATACTCGTGGCAATTTCCAATGGTTGAATTGTTTTCTGTTATAACGCATTACATCTGTTGCTGAAATACCGTTGTCTATGTTAATTTCAATTCATGTAATTCGTAGTTGACCCGGCAAAAAGGTCAGACCCAAAGGCTCAGGCCTTGAAAGCTGCCAAGGCCGTGAAATCAGCTTCGACAACGTTTAGAAGAAGTCAAAGAGGATTATTTCACTGACTGAAAACATTGAAGAAGGATAGGAATCCCAAGTTTCCTCGCATTAGAGCTCCTTCTAGGAACAAGCTTGATCATTACCAGATTCTGAAATATCCACTCACCACTGAATCTGCAATGAAGAAGATAGAAGACAGCAATACCCTTGTTTTCGTTCGTGCTGACAAGAAGAAAATAAAGGATGCAGTCAAGAAAATGTATGACACCAGACAAAAAAAAAATAAAAATAAAATGTGAACACTCTGATCAGGTAAAGAAGAACTGCTTGCTCATTCATTCTGCGCTCATTATTGTTTTGCTTCAACTAATTTAATTTCACTGACTAATGAAGATATTGTTATTCTCCCATTATTCTTTTTGTTCGTTTGTTTAATTCTTGCCTTCACAAGTTCTCGCGTTCTGTTGTGAGTGGATGCCAGTTTTAGAAATTTTACTCATTTGCATTAAAGAATTGATATTGGCAGCCTTCCATGTTGAAATGCTTTACTTTGGAAAGAAGGATATTTTGTGAATGTTACCGAAAGTATGACTCACCCAATCATCTTATCATATTACTGCTTAGCATATTTAAAAATCTCTTTGCTGTGAATGGTCAGCTATGTTAGGCCCTTCTATGCTAGTAGTCGTGATTATAATCTTACTTTTGGAAATTATGACATGCCAGATGACACAAGTGTTCGGTTTGTTCATGTAATCTGTTTTAGTCTCTCAGCAAGTAAAAGTTTCTTCTCTCGGTTACAAGTCACTCGCCAACTTATTATTGCAGAAATTTAATACGCTGTCAATTATTTTTCTCCCGCTTCAGGCCAGATGAGACTAAGAAGGCTTATGTTCGTTTGACAACTGACTTTGATGCTTTGGATGTTGCAAACAAGATTGGAATCAAATAAGTACCTGGCTCTCCAGGTTTGAATTTGTGATTTTTTTGGTAGAATCTACCAGCGGCACTTGGATTATGTAAACAACCGTGCTACTTGGCCAGGGCCACATGGGCCCTGGTTTTTCGGGGACATGTGCCCCCCATTAGTAGAGAATAATTCTTACAACCGAGCTACAGGAACCATGGGAGTGATTGCTCGCGCGTGCACACACACATGGGTTCGGAATTTTTTAATTCACGCGGGATCCACTCGTCCCATGTGAGGGCGCGGTCATCCCCGTGGTCATCAGTGCAGATTGCTTAGCTTTATTCTAATTCTTATGTAAAACTTAGTTGTGGTGAAACTTCTTTCATTTTATCTAAACGTTTCATATTCCAAATACTGTAATGAATATGTTGAACATTATACTTAATTCTACCTTTAATTGAACACATCACATAGTGCTACTTAAACTGGTGTTATTCAGCACCACTGGTGCTAAACACCCGTCTAAATGATAATTGCACAACATTAAATGATATATTCACTTAAGTGCAATATCACATGATTTATTTAACCCTTGTTTGAGTCTCATTTTTTCAAAACTCATTTTCAACTACATATTTTCCAATAAAATAATTTTAAATGTAAATTAAAAACTTTTCTTACTTTCTAACCACACATTCTTTAATAATTTACTATTCAAAAGTGCATATTCTGTTCAAAATGGGTCTCAAACAAAGGCTAAATTGAACATAGCAACTGTGACGTTTAGATGGATGCTCTCCAGCATCACTAATGATATATAGCATTATTCCGTATGATTGTGTCTTCTAGAATCAACTATTGAATTGAGTATCCCAATGTTACCCAACCAAACTTTAATTGCTCTCTTTTCATGAAATAAATAGGCTGCCAGTCTAGTTGATATACATTAATGTTATAATTTCTCCATAATATTGAATATTCATTAACGAGAGTCACCTACTTTGTTTGAATAAGCATTTAACTAAAGTTTCGAACTCTAATTTCTTTCACGTGCGTGTTTAATGGTTAACATTTATTTCCGGTTTGATTTTGACTAAAATCAGATTATTATGAGAGCATGATACTTTGAAATTGGGAATTTAAATAAATGCAATCCAAAATAACACCTTTGAATTGGAACAACAACCCATTATTCACGCCTCCCTCAAGTACCATTTCTACCCTTGGCTTCTGATGTGTAATGACCATTTTATCCCTAGTAATTATTGAGTGCAGAAAATTGAGGGTACATGTCCTTTCGAGTCGTAATGACTTTTCTTTATTGAGGGTACATGTCCTTTCGAGTCGTAATGACTTTTCTTTCTTTCTTTTTTTGGGTCGATTTTTCTGCTAGAAGCGGGATGAGACACGCTTAGATAATTACGGGTCAAATAGACAAAGCTTTTGTCTAACTTTTTCTTGTGTTAATACTTTTTTTCAAATTTACCTTTTTTTAAAATCAAACTTGCTTCCCTAAAAAGTAAAACTTGTTTTAAAATAACTTTTAAATACAACTAAACGTGTTTAAAAGTCTCGTCTACGAAAATTTAATGACATAAAAATGATATTTTCTAAACTATACCTTGCTATGCATGAGATTATTATTATATTATTAGCCACCTAAATTTTGTTTCCTACTCAATCAACCGCATATAAAGTATACATATAATATCGTTTTCTCCATCTTAATCCAATAATCAAATCGTCCACGCAAGAATTTCCCCAGCTTTTACTCAATTTTCAAAGATTCAGTACAACTTAACAAATCAATCATTTTAATTGAGATTTGGGACGTTAATCAAGATTATGATATGTATTATCTTTATTGATCCAAGTGGCTTCCACTAGTTTTGTTATTTAAAATTAAAAAAAATAAAATTGTTTACTTTAGATAATTGAGGGAGACTTACAATGTTCTTTCCCCACTTATGATTTATGTATTAAGTTGGTCCTTCACTTTCATTTGAGACATTCTACTTCTCAACTTTTAATTTTATTGAAAATATTTATACCCTTATTTTTAATTATAATGGAATTTTTTTAGAAAATAAATCAATGGAAAACCGAAAGAAAAGAGGGGACGGTGGATGGGAAGAGCAGCAAGAGAGTGGGAATGACTAAAATTGAGTAAGGTGCGACAAAATTAAAAGTCGAGGATAAAATATCAAAGTGGAGAGTTTCAATACAATTCCCCCAAGGCATAATAGCACAAATGTTCATATGTTTCAATTTTTTGCATTTTCACCTCTATTTCCATATTTTATTGCGAAAAACGTTATTTTCACCAAATTTTAACTTAAAATGACCAATATACCATCATGTTTAAATAAAAATGAAAATAGAAAAAAATAAAGAACAAATTAAAACTATTGGCCCAAAATTTTCAAAAAGTTTAATAGCACAAAATGTTCCTATGTTTCTTTCTTCCCACACCTCATTTTCCACCCCATTTGTTATTTTGGAGATTCAAAGAGCTGTCGGCTTCCATCTTACCAACCACCACCCATCCGTAGCCAAGAACATCGGAACTCACTCCACAAACAACTACCATCAACCCCAAATACTTTTTCATAAACAAATTGAACGAATAATAAATTTATAAGGCCAAAATTAACCAAAAATGCAGTTTATCGTGCGTGCAAAACCCTGCCTTTTCCCATCAATTTCGACACGATAGTAGTTCCCACTGTCACTGACCACCCATTCTGGCTTTGCCACATCACGCCACACCTGCTCTAATAATGGGCTTCCATCAATTTCATCCTAATATGCCCTAGAATTTTTGGCTAGTTATTGCCCAATAAGAAATTGAAAGCTGTTACTGTAGATTTTGATTTTGTGTATCTTTTGATGTTTTAAGATTATGAAAAGCGGTGCTCTAGTAAGTATAATTTATTGGTGTGTTGGGAATAGCATGAGTCTCATCGAAATAGGTGGTGCTGCCAGTATTTGCATTTGCGAATTGGATATTTTGACTTGCAATTCCAACCAAATTCGTTGAAATGAAGGTTGGATGTTAGGTGGCATGTGTAGAGAGGAGTGGAGAATTTTCGATGATATGGAGGTCCGACAGTTTGGGCAGTGGTTGGCTACAATTTTTGGGCTCCTAAGGTGGCGGCCCCATTTGGATTTTAGGACTTGGTGATGATTTTTTCAAATTTGTTTCTTTAATTGTACTCCTTCATCATAGAATATCTGTTGTAAAAATGTCGGTGGAGGTGTGAAATTTCGATGTTTTTGGCAAGGACAAAGTTGGCAGCGGAGGAAGAGGGGAATAGAAGAAAAGAGAGAAAGAGTTTTTTTTTTTTTTTTTTAAATAATTTATTTGGTCTCATTTGCACTTTTTAAAAAGTATAGGAGTAAGATTACAACTTGTTCTTTCTATTTCTTTTTTTTTGTTTTATTTAAATATGAGGGTCTATTGGTCATTTTTAGCTAAATTTTGGTAAAAATAACGTTTTTCGCAATGAAATGTTGAAATGGGGTGAAACGCAAAAAATTGAAATGTGTGGACGTTTTGCATATTATATGTCAAATGTAGGGATATTTTGTGCTATTAATCCATTCTCCCAATGCTAAAAGTGTCTTATTAATATGTGAATATGTACGAAAAAGCAGCAGCTACTTGGTGAAGTTCAAGGGAACTCGAAGAGTCGCTTCCTATTGTCCATATCATTTCTAATATACACTTGCTCTAAGGGTCCATAGTGTTCACCTTCAATCCCCACCACCCAACCCGGCCCCTACTCCAGTTCTCCTTTATACCACATGAAGCATATCCCTGCTACCATTTCTTGAACTAAAATCCCATCATTTGTTTTTATTTTTTATTTTTTTATGGATTTCGAAATTTCTTGGGATATTGCCTAGGATTTCTTGGTCCATAAAAGATAAAAGGATAAGGCTTTGAAGACTCGAGGTTCTTATTACAGAAAGGAAGTTTAGATTTGACAATTGGAGAAGAAACCATGGTGGAAGAAGAAAGGCCTGATTTGATCAGCAACTTACCAGAAGGAATTCTACAGCTGATTATTTCAATGATCCCATTCAAGGAGGCAATTCAAAAAATCATCCTTTCAACTGAATGGAGGAGCCTAATGAATCCACTTCAAGTAAACTTAGAATTTGATTGGATTCAATCAACTAATATTGAATCCAGGGAGAAAATCAAGAAATCAATTGGATCATTCTTGAAATCTTGTGAAAATAGTCCTCAGACATTGAAACTCTATCTTCAGTCTACAGAGGGAAATGATGATAAACTCTTTGGTATTTGTGCTAAAGGATCACATGGAGAATTTCATCTTGATTTCTCAGTGCAAAAAAAGAAAGTTCCATATAACTTCGATCTGATTCTTGAACCGGAGTTTTCGAGTTTTTCTTCTATTAGAAAGCTGCATCTTAGATCTGTCTCCCATTTTGTGGGAAATCTTGTCGTTGATTTGTTCGCAGGTTGTCAATTTCTCGAAACCTTGAGTCTCGAAAAATGCGTTGGATTGCAGAACATCAACATCAGATCACATTACTCTCTTAAGAAGTTGGTTATAGTTGATTGTCCTAACATCATCAGCATTACACTTTCTGCACCAAATCTTGAATCATTTTCATATCAGGGAGTTCTTTCGATTATTCAGCTGAATTACATTCAACATTTGGTCGATTTTACACTAAATCTGAGGGATGGTTTAGGCCATAACAATTTTGAATCTGAGGATGTCATATCTCTTATCTCCTCTCTCAGAAGTGTTGAAATTCTTACCATAAGTGGTTGGTTCATTGAGGTATCTATCTTGAAAATTTTACCACTTTGTTTTGATTAATCAGATTATTTTATGCCTCAGAATGTCTCTTAACGCAATTTCTTTTGAAGTTATTATGTTCTGCAGGAGTGATATTTGAAAGACTAGGTTTCCTATTTGACAAGCTTAAGGAATTATACATTATTGATCCAAAAATAAGCCAAAAAACACGCAATTCATTTGCTTGTTTCTTGAACATCACACCTTTCTTGGAAAAGCTTTTTGTGGAAGTAAGTTCCCTTTTTCTTTTTCTTTTTCATTTTTTTTTTCTACAGAATTCGCACTCGTGTCATTGTCAATGCTTGGAACTCATTCTTTCTATTTACTCAAAAATAAGCAGGTTGATGAGAAATCCAGCCCAGTCGAGTGTCCATTCATTTACCAGTATTGGCATGAGCCTCACTTATGTATGGATTATGCAACAGTGAAATGTACAGCTTCTCAACTTAAGTACTTAAAGTTCATCAAGCTTATCGGATTCAAAAGCGAATCAGATCATATATTGTTAATGGATCTTCTGCTTCATAAGGCTGTTAATCTTAAGCAGATGATTCTTACCTCATCAGATAGGGATTCATGGACGGTTGCAAAAATTCCTCAGACTCAACTAAAATTCTACAGCAAAAGGCGGTATACTGTGATTTCCTGTCCAAATACTGATGTGTCTATAGTACTAATAGATGCCAGAGATGAGGCTTATAAACCGAAAGTGTACCAATGTATGCAGTATTGAAGAGCACTCTATAATAAACAAAATTTTAGCCCTTTTTTTCCTTCATAATTCTGTCAAGTACTGTTTCATTTCTCATCCAATGCTTATGACATTGACCGTTGTAAATACCAACCCGCCCGCCCACGGCCCTAACCCATAGTTTTAACACTCTTTTTTATTTATCTCTAGTAGAGGCGATCGAGTCTCGTATTCATAAATTTAATTGGCTTATCACATGTCAAGATGAGTAACATTATTTTTTTTTAATTTTTTTTCCTATATTTGTCAAGTGTAAATGTGGAAATGTGCTTTTTTGGGTTCATTTTCATCAAATTCTTGAATATAGATCAATTGTTGACTAAATCAATACGACTTTTCTTATAAATGCGTATTTTGGAAGAAAACAAAGCATATGATTTTGATCCAAAAAAATATCAACCACAAAAAATGTCCTGCTTGAATTAATCATTCGGAAACAATACAATCCCTTAGCTCCACATAGATAAACTAATTTTTATTTTCACACAAATTAAGAAAACTTAATTTTTGTAGTTAAAATTATAGATTTTTTTAATATACTCCTACATTCAATAATTATAGTTTCTGCCCCTTGCTTGAGCCCCATTCTTTTTATAAAAATGAATTTTTGAATAGCATATTGATGTGAAATGTGTGGTTAAAAAATAATAAATTTTTTTGAATTTGAGTGTAATATTATTTTATTGAAAAATGTACTGTTGAAATGATGTCAAACATTATTTAAGAATGTATTTTTCCAAAAGAATGAGGATCAAACATGGGCATTTATTGATAACAAAGCACATTAACTATAGGTATACTAGAAAATTAAAAAATTAACTATAGCTTCAACATGAAAGGTGACCCATAATTTTGGATAGATGAAAACAGAAAGCAAGCATATATATATATATATATATATATAATTTTTTTTAAAATTTAATTTAATTAAATTTTATTATTATTTTTTAATGACAGGGGAACCCGTAGCCAGTATCCTTCGTGTGCTCATCGAGTAAATCCTTGGGCTGATGTAACAGCCTGCAAACCACACCAGTCAGATAAATATCA